AAAGTTCGTAATAAGTGTTCAAATTGATTTAATTTTCGTGGATACGCAATTCTAACCCTCTTTAAAGATGGCATAAGTATTCTATTAAATATTAAAATACTTTAAACATTATTCACAACCATTTGGCACTCATCCTCAATTCGTCTTTGCAATTCTGCCCGAGTATCAACTAAGCATCCAAATTTCCTGAAATATGAAATTCAGTACACTTGTTCCCCACTGTTGCTGCCCATACATTGATCCTAAAAATAAATAAAAAATGATGTTTTTGGAAAAGGTTATTCACTCTAATAATGTAAAATACGTGATTTAATCATGTCTTGTGAATATTGCCTCGTCAATCAAGAGGATATTCCTAAGGAAATCAGGATTGGTTTCTTTCATTTCTATTATCCTTGACAAAAACCTACTCGGGTTGGTAGATAATCTGAATACTGTTGGTTATGAGTTAATGTTCTTCTTTTCTCTAATTTTCTCCTTCAATTGTCAGGCCATATGATGGTCTAATAATTTTGCATAGGTACTTAATGATTAGAAACAAATATCAGAGTATTATTTGACTCGTATACCATTGTTTCACAGCTACCTCAGTAATGCAATACTCTGCAGGTACGCACGCCTGTCTCACTCGTAAACGGTTTATTTTACTAACTTCGAGAGAAGTATTATTCTTACCTTTTTTCAGTCAAAAATTCAGAAAATTAATTTTATGTACACGATTCTTGCAAAAAGGCGAAAAGCGGAAGGAGAGAAAAAATTAAATCACCTTCCCACCCCCCCAATTCATCCCAAAGATGATTTTTTTATCTTACAACTAAATTTAATGTACCTTTAAAAGGTCCTGAATTTCAGCTTAATGTTCCAAGGCATTTAAAAATTTTAATTGAAAAAGTGGTTTTCATCCTGCCACCCCTTCGAGGGATTGTAATTTTCAAAATTACGGACGCTAGTCATAGTGTCCTTAATTTTCGAAGTTCTGTCGCCTCATAAAATATTTGCACTGAACTTTGTATGTGTATTTATATAGGTATGTTTATGTATTTAAGGAATGTTCGTATTAGCACAGTATCATCAGCATTGCCAGTTATTTTTAAATCAACTTACAATACTCAAAGTTACAATGAAAATAATTTAGTATAACTTAAATACGCGTTACTTCAAAGTCGCCATATTTTTTGTTTTTAACAAATTAAAAATTTCACGATTTATTAAGTATTAACCAATATTGATATTTAGATACGTAACTAATTGTAAACAAAATAAAATGTTTTAAAATAATAAAGTGTATGTATTTAATTTGTGAATCTCAGTGTCAATGAATGTAGACATTGACTTAGTTTAGCTGAACTATACTACTGTCACTATGTACAGTAGATTTAGGATAATTAAAATATGGATGTCCCCAAAAATACGGTATATTTATACTCTTTATTCTGTCTCTTAGACATATTAAATTAATCCAAAATAAAAAACAAAATTAAACTGTGAACAGTTTAAATTTAAGCAGAATTCCATTATGTTCCGAACGCTTCCGAGCTGCAATGAAGGTTAGCCACCGCTGTTCTGTTGCGGCATGCATTTGAAAGCGAATATACCGACTGTCTTCGCACCTGGCAGAAAACGGGAATGGCCGAATATTTAATTATTTGATTTGATTACATTTTTAGTTTAGTCGACTTTATCGACTTACGAGAGGGTGTTTGTAAAGTGCCTTTGAGTGGTGTAAGTGTATAATATATGTATTATGAAAAATCATGTATACGAATCAAGAAAGAGGTTGATATGGTTACAGCCTACTTTTTATCAGGAGAAAATTAAACAATATCAGATAGAATACCCAACTTATAAGTAAACACTGAATAAGAAAATGTTTGTAAGATTGGTTCAACATTTAAGAAATCACCTGATCTTTGAACGCCAATGTTGGACGTGAACAAACTCAAAAAGAAACGAATTTTAAACGTCGTGGAAGAAAATCCTGGTACCAGTACTCTAAGATTAGCTACAAAATTTCAAGTACGGGGCGTCCCAAAATTTATGCAAGATTTGAATTTTGCGCCGTTTGTGCGGTAAAGTGTTGCCAACGAAAAAAAAGACAGTGTGATAGCTGACAGTATAGGGTTATTAAAAATACGAAAGAACAACGCGTTTTCATTAATGGGCAAAATTTTAAAAATAATGAAAGTTTTGCAGTTAAATATGGTTGGAATAATGATTTACCTTCATCAGTTGTGAGATTAATTGAAAAATTCAGAGAGACTGGAGCTTAGTGATCGTCCTTCAACAAGTCGCTCAACACAAAACATCGAAGTAGTTTATTCAAGGATTGGAGATTTCAAGAAGCTCTCTACAGCGTATTCTCACGAAAGGTTTGCTTCTTCATGCTTATAAAGTAGGGATGACTGATCCGAAGAATTTTACGGATGAGTTATACATTTATTCGATGTATATTTGGTCTTGGTCCTACATTTGATGAGGGCTGGTAACGTTTGCTCATAGATTATGTTTAATAAGTGCCAAAATGTGTTAAATCGGAGAAAAATAAGGGTGTTATAGTTAAGTGCCACACTCTGTATAACCCAGTTCTATTAAGAAATTAAATTGCAGTCATTTCGAATTTCCTTTATTCCTTACTGTTATAAATATTTAATAATTAAAATTAGAAATAAATTTCAGCTTAACTATTAGATGGGTATTTCTTAATATATTCAGATCTAACCCTTTATTGGTAAAATGTAGGGGCATACTGTTTGTTCTATAAATTGCTCATATATTACACCATCTGTATTCTTTCTTCCATATAAAGTTTTAAATACAATCACATATTAGTAATTAATTTTATTGTGGTATGCATGGTGAAAGACAATTCTTTGATTTATTGATAAATATATTAATGTAATAATAATGTGGTTATTTCAGCATAACTTTTAATTTATAGAAAATTATTAGGGGGTAATTTGAATACCTATCTTATTAATATTTGGTATGTTGATATCTCTAAAACTAATTAACTAATTCTATAAGACTACACTAAAAATCCATACTGTATTTATAGATACATACATTACACAGGGTGAGTGATATTTAACATAGTGTAGCAAGTATGTGATAGTATTTTAGTAAATAATATTTATCACATGATCATTTTTTCTTTTTGATATACATGTCATACATGATAAGTTGTCTTAATATATCAATATCAAGCTTGTATATTATTTGATATCTGTTCAAATTCATTTTTTTTTTAAATTTTGATTTAAATTACAAGGTGCTTATTCTAATTAATTTAATGTTTTATTTGTTCTTTTAAATCGTTTTTGATGTAAAAAACAATAAGTTAAGTATTTCTGTAAATCTCAGTTCAGAAAATATGAAAAATATATTTTTTTAACTTTAGCAACCTGTATCTTAAAGAGGGAATATTTGTCGAAAAATATTTGTATGATAAATCTTATTTACATATCATTATACTCTCGATTACAAAGTTAATTTGACTCATCTTGTATACAAAGTGTCGGAATATAAATACTTAAGTCATACTTCAAGGGTGGCTTCTTAGGTAAAAATAAATTGAGACCACTTTGCTTCCATAAAAAATTATGGACCTTAGAAGATTTTCTTCGTTTTTAAATTATTTCGATAAAATTTGGTACAGGGGAGTTTTTGAAAAAGAAACGTATTAATATAATCTTATTTTTTTCATGAAACAGAAATCTTTAAAAACACCTTAAAATAGTTGTTTTGGTTTATTTGCTAAATTCTTTTTTATATAGAGATTTTACGAAAATATTCGTTTTGAAACTCCACTTTATTTGTAAAAATGATATATCTGTTGCATATTTAATATACATAGTTCCTAAGAAAAATGTATCTTCAACACTGCAGTCATCAGTTAAGGACAGTCCAGTATTTGGGAATATCCTGGCCTTATTAAACTTAATTTATTTTTGCTGAATTTGTAACTATACATATTTTTTTGTAATTTACATCAGTTTACCCTCATTCATGAGTCAATGCCTACTGAAATATACTTATCTCTGTGAATGTAGCTTCATAGTTCTGCATTTCAGTAAACATTGAGTTTTTAATGAAGGTCAGTAGGTAAAAAATGTAAAAAACAATTTATTTCAAATTTAACAAGTTACAGTTAATTATATATTAATGAATTATATATTAATACTTGACTAGTAACTGCAGCAGAAACTCAAAATTTTTTTAAAATCTTAGCAATTTGTTTTATGTAAAGTTCACATGCATTTATATTTGGTGAACCCAAAAATTCCTTATGTTAAATTTCACTGAAATATCTTAAAAGGTAACAGTTATCTCGATAAAATTAAACCGAATTATATCTTTGCTAATTATTTTCAGCTAAGAAAGCTACCCTTGGAGAAAGGCCTATTATTTATTAGACATCATGTATATGTTATATTACATATATACAGAATTTTGCAATGTTTCAACTTATATAGATGATTCTCTGAATAAAAGAAACAAAGAAAAGAATCATATAGTCATAGGTTTGCAAATGCTTAATTTTTTTAAATTCAGGGCGGCAGTGTTATCATTTTTTTAGTTATTCTCATTATTTGTTTTAACGTTTTTCAGTAAACGGATTGGTACCTACGTTTATATGTAGGTATATTATGTTGGTACGCAAAAGTGTTAAATGTACCGAATTTGGATCTTAAAAAACCTGTAAAACAAACAAAAGAAAAAGAAGTAATAATATAACTTTCATCGCCTTGTATATCAGAAACAAAGCGTTTGTAGACCAACGATGATCTATTGGTTGGGGGAAGTGGAGTATTCCAACGCTCTGTATACATATATGTATGTGTGTCCACATTTATAACTGCGCAAAGATATATGTCTATGTACAAATATACAGGGTATCCACCAGGCCATACCTCATGAGTACTCGTCTGTGAAAATAAACTGATTTAGATCAAGCTCCCTTAGAACAATTTTCTTTCCTCCAAAAAATTATTTGTTATTATTATTATTATCATTTGTTTTTTTATTCTATAGTTTGAAACGTAGATGTTTTATGAAACCCCACTTTATTGTAAAAAAGTATACTTGTTACATGTCAAAATGTACCGTTCCCAAGAAAAATTGATTTCAACTTATTATTGCAGTCATCAGTTGCTAGTAGCCGAGTATTTGGGAGTGCTCTATCTAATACAAGTAAATTTTTCTTTACCAAATTTGTAGCTAAATAAAATATTTTTTACAATTTACATCAAGGCACATAAAAAATCAGTGTTTACTGATACATATAATGTAATGTAGTATCACAAAAATTAATTTACAGAGCTATATTTCACTTACTAATTGCGACAAATTGGTATAAATTGAAAAAATATTTAATTCAGTTGTATGAATTTAATTAATTTTTAAAAAGTAATTAAAATGGAGTTTTAAAAAACATAATTTTCTCGAAATTTATACCAGCAAAAGTATGACAAAAAAACAAAAAATTGTTTAGTGATTTTAGCGATATCTATGTTTTAGGTAAAAACTAATATATTCAAATTCAGCTACCCCAAAAACATTCCCTTATTAAATTCCATTGAAATATCTTTAAAAGTGACTAAGTTATCTTAAATTTCTTTGAAGATGAGTAACTATTTAGAGCAGAATTGTACCCTGATCTAAATGGGTTTATTTTCACTTCCGAACACCCTGTATAGAAATATAAGATTAGGATTTAATAACTTATGGATTTACATCATGTGACAAAGTGTTCTTAGTTTCTGTGGCATTGACTTCTGTAGTCATACAATGATGAATATTTGAAATATGTTCTTCAGCAGTTCTTGATGAGTACTCTGAATATTCGTCTTTTTCATCAGATGCTTCATCCACTAAAGCAATTTTACCAAATCCAGATAATTTTTGATAATCCTAAAAAATTACATCTTTTATATTTATTGAACAACTTATAGTTGAGAAATAACTAACCTGATCTCTTACAGATATAGTACCATTACCAGAATCACCCTCCTCTCCACAGGGTTTCAATACGAGATATAATAACAAATCAGACAAAGAAATAATACCTATTACTTTTTCTTCATCATCGACTACAACTAATCTGTGAACCTACAAATAATATTGTTAAATATGTATACAGGGTGGTCAAATGAAAACGAAACAGAGCCATTTTCAGGAACTGCGTCAAAATTGTAAGCAAGAGTAAGCATCACCCCAAAATATTTAAATGGCATTGGGGGTTGAGTAATATTTCTTTTGAAAGCTCTTACAATTCTCTTTACAACAGACTTTAAATTTTATAATTCCGCCCAATACTTACTAAGAATTTTAATTTTAAAGTTGAAACTTATGTACAAACAATTAGTAACGGTAAAAATGTCAGTCATTCGAGTTAAGTACGCCAATGGTATAAATTTAGTATTTCTTGCATTACATTGGTTTTTGTAGATTTGTTATCACTTTCGTAAAAAAAACACAATTATTGTATCAAACAGAAATGAATGCTATACACACAATGAACGTAAAATTAGTGGATTCCAAATTATTTTCTAGTATTATTTGGAAGCGTTGGTTGGTAGTTTAATTGTGTTTTTGAAAATTAAACACTATGGTTTATTCCATTGCGGAAAGGGTAGATACCATTTCTCTTTACTTTATGAACAATAAATGTGCGAATAGAAAAGTTCAGTTATTTAACGAACAATATCAAGATCGACATGTCAGGAGGAAGTATGTTCTAGAGTTAGTAAAAAAATTTCAAGAGACAGGGAACGTAGCCAATAAAAAACGAGAAATTGAAAAACCTATAGTTAATGAAGCTAGTGAAGTTGCAGTTTTGGGACAAGTTCATCTTGATCCTACATTAAGTATGAGGCAGTTGGCATCTGTGTCTGGGATCAATCGAACTAGCATACAAACCACTTTGAAGAATAAATTCCATCCATACAAAATACATTTAGTTCAGGAACTTCATGAGGATGATTATGATCGCCGTTTGCAATTTTGCGAAATAATGAAACGATCCACAGTTCCTTTTTAACATCTGTTTTTCTGATGAATGCAGTTTTTTCTTGAACGGGGCTGTAAATCGTCACAATTGCCGCTATTGGTCCGATTCAAACCCAAGAGTTTTTCACGAGGTGCATACACAGCAACCGGAAAAATTAAATGTATGGACTGGAATTTTCGGTGAGCGGCTGGTGGGTCCTTTTTTTCTACCTGGTAATTTGACTGGCCAAATGTATTTGCAATTACTGGAAGACGCTATTGACCCTGCCTTGACTGATATTATTGAAAATGTTCCAGAGTATGATGAAGATCATTTGATTTTTCAACAGGACGGTGTTCCTTCGCATTATCCGTTAATTGTCCATCACGTTTTCTACGGAATTGGATTGGGAAAAGAGACAGCATTGAGTGGCCTACACGATCACCAGATTTATCGCCCCTTGATTTCTTTTTGTGGGGATACCTAAAAAGTAAAATCTATGGAAGATTCGCGTCAAAGAATCGTCGACGAATGCCGTCGAATCATTCCGGAAATGCTTCGGAATGTGCGCGAACGTTTCGAACAAAATCTTAATTCTTGTATGGAAGCGGGCGGTCATCAGTTTGAACATTTAATCAACTAAGTAGTACATAAGAAACTAAACATAATTTAAATTTTAAAATGTAAATTTTTTCAAAGTAATGGGCGGAATTATAAAATTTAAAGCCTGTTGTAAAGAGAATTGTAAGAGCTTTCAAAAGAAATATTACTCAACCCTCAATGTCATTTAAATATTTTGGGGTGATGCTTACCCTCGCTTGAGGGTGAAAGTGGCGGAGTCAAAAACACCAGCAAAGAATGTCCCTCTTTAATCTAAAATCGACAGGTCTGAGCGTTTTTCTACAATCTTGACGCAGTTCCTGAAAATGGCTCTGTTTCGTTTTCATTTGGCCACCCTGTATATGATTCACTATTCGATTTTTAATGAATTTTCAACATTATTAATCCTAAGAAAAATCACTGTTTTTGAAAGAAAAGGGATGTGTACAAGGAAACTCAAATAAGATAAAGAAAATAAATGTATAATTATGTTTCTGTTCACAATTTAACGGTGTTAAATCTCGAAAATCACTGAGAACTTTGAAAACTTATTCGTCATTATCATCGTCGTCATCGTCATCCCCATCACTATCATCATTATCATCACTAATATCACTAACATCACTGCCATCATTATCATCACTACCATCATTATCCTCGTTCTCTTTGTCTTTAACGCATACCACAAATGACTGGGTACAGCGCTTTTTTATTCGGATCTTCATCGACGATTTAACGTCCTGCTCCTCAACCTGGTCCTCGTCATCGTCATCACTATCACTATCACAGTTATCATTATCACCACTATCATTACTGCAATCACCATCACCACCCTCATCATCATCGTCATCGTCCTCATCCCCATCGTCGTATCCGTCACTGTCAATATTCTCGTCACCGTCCTAGTCATTGTCCTCGTCCTGCTCTTTGACCTCTTCATCCTCGTCATCATCATCCTCATAAATAACCTCATCTTCATCATCATCTTCAACTTCATCCTCACCCTCACCATCATTCGCATCCCCATCCGCATTCCCATTCCTATCCCTATCATCATCATCCTCATCCTAATTTTCATCCTCATTCTCATCTTCATAGTCGTCGTCATCTTCTCATCGTCATCGTCATACTCCTCGTCGTCACTGTCATCGACATAAAAAATACACAAATTTAAGAATACTTATATAAACATTTGATGCCTATAAGTATTTTAAATATATTTTGACAAAATGAAGACGTTAAAACGAAATTTTGTGTTCACAATACACGAATAAAATGACTTTCGACATGAAAAAATACACGCCCAGCTCAAACTAATGACGTAGATATCAGATATGCGGGTTATATTTGCCTAAAAAATTGTAGCATGCCACTGCAAAAAAAATATCGATGTCCTCCCGCCCGTCGTCGTCCTTATCAATCGTCGTCCACGTCGTCGTTTTCGTCATCGTCATCCTCACGATGATGATGATGACGATGATGATGATAATGATTGATGATGATGACTAATGGTGACGATGATTATGACCATTGATGATGACCATTGATGATGATGACTGATGATGACGATTGATGATGAGGATTGATGATGACGATTAATGATGACGATGATGATGATAGTGATGACGATGACAAAGATGACAACAACGACGAAGAAGACGGCGGCAACGTTGACGATATCATTTGTATAGATTAGTTAATTTATATAGGAACAAATAAAAAAAAATAAAAAATAAAAATATATAGGAACGACAAAAGCGTTGAAAAAAATGGTTTTCCATTATTTTTAAAGAAAATTTGAGCTGGTATTTAATGTTTTCGATTTTTCAGATTATAACGAGCGTTCAAATAAAAACGTGGTCGAAGTTGGCTCTGACACATTGGACGTAGGGAGTAGCTTATAGCGACCAACTTAACCTCATTTCTCAACGAGCTGTATAGCAGCTGTCAGTTTCAATAACGTTAATGACTATATAACTTTATTTTAAAGAATAATCGTGATAACAATAACAAACAATTAAAGGAGCTGCGGAAAGTGTCCCCCTCCTTGTTATAACAATAAATTAAAGACATTTAAATTGAGAGCACACCAAACTCCAATTTTTTGAGCGTGTAGAGGGCCCTCGACCACATTCTCATATTCTGTGAGTTTACGTAACCACTTAAATGAAACCAGGCTTCATCAGAAAAAAAGGTGATATTATGAAGTTCACCGTAGTTGTTTAAAAACCATTCACAAAATACAGCCCGTCGCGGAAAATCAACTTCATGAAGTTCTTGCTGACAAGTTAAACGATAGGAGAACAAACGCAAATCTTTTTTTAATAATGTGTGGCAGGTACCGACTGATACTCCCACCATTTGTGATAAAACACGTACAGAAGTTCTTGGCGCATTTTCCATTATTTGTTGGTCATTTTCTTTTAATTCTTCAATCCGCTTTTTAGGTCGGCCGCTTCCTTCTTTTCTTGTTACATGCCCGTTTCACGAAAAACATTAACACAACGCTGAACTGCACTTTGAAAAATTTTGTACTCAACAACGCCGGGAAATTGATTTTGAAATTCTATGAAACATTCCTCAATAGAATACTTCCATATTCCATCAATCTTGCGTCCATTTCTAAAGTAGGCCTCTATGATAAACACTTTTTGTTCTTGAGAAAACACCATTTTAAACGAAAATATTCAAATTGATAGCGGCGATATAGCGCTTTGACAGATGACGTTTAAGTTCATTTGCTATACGCTACGCCCTACGTCCAAATTTTCAGAACCAACTTGACCACGTTTTTATTTGAATTATTTATTTTTATTTACAGATGTAACATTTTTTGTAACTTCAACACTATATCAAAATAATAAGGTTTCATGAGTAAATGTTTACACAAAAAAATATTTTTAATTTGGATGAGGAAAAGGTTCCTTCATTTTTGACACGTTGCACTGTTAAACTCTGTATTTATTTTTAATAAAGGATAATTTCACAAAAGTAAAATGGCTTTACAAAATAATGCACCTTACCTCAGCCTTTACAATTTTTTCCATAATAGTGAATAACGTTTCATCTAATTTACACTTGTATACACCTTCAAACCATTCATTTCTATGTTCATTAGCTTTTTTTAATGATACATCTAAATCATTATATGTTTTTTCAGCAGCCAAATTCTGAAAAAAATACGTAATTAAATATTTTATTGCTTATAAATAGAATTGAACTTTTGAATTATAAAGGTCTAGTACAAATTTTGCGTTTTCCGTTCACGACTTATAAAAAATATCTATAAACAAACAGATACCTTAATAATATTCGAAATATTTGAAAATCTTTCTCATGAAACATGTCTTAACATTTCTATGGTGAAACAATTATGCAGCAGCTTCGGTGACGGCCTCTAGACAGGTATTTTTATAAGGAAAAGCAATAAAAGCGCGAGAGTGTGATAGCGGATTGATGACATAAGTGTGCGAAAGCGAAGGACTCGAGATCTGTGATTTCAGACAAGTTCCAATCAAAGAGCCTGACGGCGGAGCAGTAAACATTAACGGAAATTGAAACAATATATATATGTGTTCCGTCTCTTTGGAGAAATTGATTGAAAATGATTTATATTCGTAGTATAATTATTTAATGTGATAAATACATCTCCAGAATGAAATTTCAATACGTATAAATTCTTTATTTATAAATTATTTATTGACTTATCTATTCACTGAGAATATTGATTCTACGGTCTAAATTTATTATTATGTTGCAATTATGTTATATTGATTAGTAGGTATCTAATCACAAAAACTCTTCTCAACTTAAAACTATTCATTAATGCAAAAATTAGGTAAGTATATTTACCGAAAAAATATAACCGACCGAATAGTCCATATCCTAAGGGCGTTTTTAAGACATCCATTAATGAATATTAGAACTATAATGAATGTCCGTTTGGGGATGTTGTACGTGCAATGAACGTCCGTGGGCATTCGTTTTCCACAATTGAACAATGGCCTATGAATGGACGTTTTGGACCATTTAAGACGTCTTAAGTCCCTGGGATGTATAAAATATACGTACAGTGTTCTCATCGACGGACGTGTTTGATGCAGTAAAGGTGTGAATGCCTAGTACGAGAAACAGTGAAGTGCAGACCCCATAAAAATTGTTTTTTACAAGACAAACCCCAACGGTCTTTATTAAGAGTACTTGAAAAGAATTCTTCTCATTTTTATCATTATTAATAACCGACGTAATCTCAGCTTTTGCTTCACAGAAAAATGCATAGGAGGGCATCATGCCTCGGTCGCCGACACCCACGGAAAGCGACGGCTCCAACGAAAGTCGGTCGAACAGCTTCGAATCCGTCGTTGAACAGAGCAGAGGATCGGAGAGGGAAAGAGAGCTGGCAGCAGATAATGCCAGACTCAAATATATGATCGACGAATTAAGAAACGTGCTACAAGAGCAACACAGGGATTTGGAGGACCTAGAGAGGAGATCGAGAGAACAGCACTAGGAGTTGTTTTCGCTCTCAGAGGACAAAAGATCTCCAAGGGGGTCAAACGAGGCAAACCCGAAACCTCGTCGAGATCTGAGGATGAGCCTAGCCAGGCTAAAAAGAAGTCGGTAGAGGTGGCGAACAGCCGGCCAGTTACCACGGTTTCCCGGCCACTGACAAGCAACGACAAGAGGCCCCCAGGCCGTACATAGAACAGCTACCCTACCTGTTACAGGAGTAAATAGACTCTCCGCGAAGTGTGCGTCCCTCCTGGAATGTGAAGGATTCCTGTGGAGACGAATTCAACTTCTTGCCTCGTCTAGATGTGGACGTGATGGTGATACCAAAAATATAGGACGCTCACACTGTTAGAATGCCCGGTTACCAAGTGTACCAATTGGAAACAAACACGGAGGAAAAGCCGTCACTGTATTGATCCGCATCCACCGGCACGGTGGTATTTCGGTGGTGACCTGTTACCAGCCCCTCCCTAAGTCCTGCTCACCAACCACGACTTACGTGCGGTTACGTACACGTGGCCGCAAACTGTAGTCATCGGAGCTTTTAAAGCGAAATCGTTCGAGTGAAATAGTACGACTACCACCACGCATAGCAGGGTGCCTCTGCAGTTTGTGCAGGACCACGAGGATGCCATAGCGTAAGGGATCCGATAAGGGCTGACGCACTACGGAGCACGGAGAAAACCAGACGTGTTGGATGTCGCTTTGCTCAAGGCAATACTTATGGCCTCCGATCTGACGACGCATTACGGAGGGGCGTTCAACTATGTCCCCATTCTCCTAATCTTAGAAGATGAGCGACGCGACGAGGAAATCATCGCCAAGTGAAGACCGATTGAGACCAGTTCAGCGCAGAAACGCAATGAATCTGTGTAGCCATCATTCCCATCATCCATGACGTAGCGGCCATCGTGAACCTTGAGATAGATATACAGGGTGATTTATTAATAATGGGACAGAGCTTACGGGCATGTTGCTGACCTCAAAATAGATCGATTAAGCCAAATATGCCTTATCCGAATGTTGCTCCTTTTCGATCTACAGGGTGTTAAAGTTGAAAAAATATTTTCGATTTTTTTAAATATCTTGAGCAACTTTGAACGGATTGTCTTGAAAGTTTGTACACCTATGTTTTCTGAGGTGGTAATTACGGAAATGGTAACTAATTTGCAATCACATCTAGGATGCGCTAGTTGTAGTGTTCCGTCGGAGTAAACATATGTCAAACTTTTTTGTCCTTCAAAAATCTGAATTTCCAATAAGAAATTATTAAACTACGTTCAATTCTAAATAAAAAAGATATACCTGTTAAAAATCGATAAACTTAACCGTTTTCGAAATAAGAACGATTTACTATTTCTTTACAAAATTATTTGTTTGAACGTACGCCTTTAAATAAGATGACTTAAATGAAGTAGGCCGCTGTCAATGAAATGTCATGTATTATTTATGTCAATTCTAAGCAACTTATAAATACTAGACAGTTTAGTTCTTCTTCGTTTGTGATTTTTTTCATTAAAATGCCGCGTCATAATGATTATTCGTTTGTTGAAATGAGAAACATGGTATGTGTGTATGCCCAAGAAAATTATTGTGGTCGTCATGCAGCAGCGAGGTACTTGGAGTTATATCCAAATAACAGACAACCTAACCACAAGCTTTTCAAGACGTTGTACGACAGATTAGGAGAAACGGGATCATTTCGCCCTAAACGAGACGTTGGAAGGCCTAAAGTATTAGCGGCGGAGCAAGAAGAGGATGTTTTAGTGCGAATTGCCGAAAACACGCAAACAAGCACACGCCGAATTTCATCAGCTACTGGTGTAAGTCAGCCTTCCGTCTTCAGAATACTCCACAAAGAAAAATTGTATCCTTACCATTTTCGTCCGGTTCAACAGTTGATGCCACAAGATCCTCCTGGTAGATTTCGGTTCGCACAGTTTCTTCGTCGGCAACAAAATGCTGACCCTACATTTTATAATAAAATATTGTTTACGGACGAAGCTACATTTACCCGGCGCGGTGTATTTAATTGGAGAAATAGCCATTCCTGGGAACTGGAAAATCCTCACTTGCCACGAGAACAACATTTTCAGCATGAATTCTCAATAAATATTTGGTGTGGAATACTTTCCGATAACATTTTGGGACCATTTGTGTTACCCCGTCCACTTAATGGGGAAAATTATTTAAATTTTTTAACAAATGACTTGCCACTCGTTCTTGAAAATATCCCCTTAAATTTACGGCAAACCTTTTGGTTTATGCATGATGGTGCTCCCGCACATTACTCCCGACCAGTAAGAGAATATCTTGATATAAGTTTTCGAAACCGTTGGATTGGTCGCGGCAGCGAAGTGCCTTGGCCTGCGCGTAGCCCTGATTTAAATCCCCTAGATTTTTATTTCTGGGGTAACGTTAAATCTTTAGTTTATAAAGATGTTATACATACTCGAGAAGAGCTGTGGGCAAAAATACAAGAATCTGTTAACATTATCAGAGACCAACAAAGAAGTCTATTCAGTGTCAGACAAAATTTTAACGAGAGAATAAAAAAATGTATTGAAAACAATGGTCGCCACTTTGAGAATCTTTTGTAATTAGACTTAAGCATAATAAAAGGTCCAGGCATTCGCCGACAGTCTTGAATTACAGTGTAGGGAAAACCTTGTCGACGACCAGCTTTTATATTCCTTACCGCGGTATTTTCCGAACCGTTTTGCATTTTCGAATTAGATGTTAGAAATGACTGGACAAAATCCTGATTTTTTAATAGCAGGTCTTATTATTTTTTAAATGGGCTTTCTGCTGTCAACATAAAATCAATTAGTCCATCCTCGTACTGCTACATGAGGTCACGAGAGGAAGGTGTTAACTACAATCAATTAAAGTAAAATATTGAGAACTAATCATTCCTTAACAGGCAATAGTTTTATTTTAGTCAAATTGAATTAAACGGTATGCAGAATCAATTAAACTCTCCAAGATTACTAATAGTCACAAATAGAGCCTCTGAAGTAAACAAAGGTAAGTGAATCTAGTGAATAATTTATAGCAGGCAACATTTCTCCCTTTCGAGCACGGGACCATCCCTCATTTCCCAAGCTTAATAAACTGTGAGAATACTATAAATTTTGAGGTTTCTTCAGTAAGAGAAAAAAGTATGTAGCAAAAGTTAAATAGTTACGGAGAACATATTGAAAACATCAAACATTGAAAAATAAAAAAATGTGTATACACACAATAAGGAAAATTTAAATTATGAACTGTGTGGTCGAGGGTCAACAAAGAAACTCATTATCATGATTAAGTTTATGAAATTTTGCTTTTTCGAACTGGAATGAGCTGGAGGCGTTCTATTTTATCAAGTCTGTAAAAGTTTAGAAATAAATCCCACGGATGCCTGCAGTAAAAGCATAGACGTGTTTCAAAATTCACCTATCTTTCGAATCGGGACTGGAAAACCGGAATAGGTCGAGGGTGATGAACATCTGGACAAGAACTTGAACTCTCCAACCATAGCTCTGCACCCTGCCGTGGATGTCGCCCCAAAAGAGGAAGCCGATCGCTCCAGCCATAAAGATATGGGTACAGTACATTCGCCTAGTCCAAAAACCGATCTATGAGGTCAAACTGCCCCATTGTCACAGCCCTCATCCCCGATGACACGAATTACGTCTTGAGGCCGAATATTGGGTCCGAATTAGGAAATTCACAAAATTTCTGAAAATTACCAAATTTGGACGTAATACCTATAATTCCAAAAAGCGTCATGGTTCTGATATTATTAAACTGGAGGTCCAGAGAGCTCCGCGCCAAATCAAGGGACACCGGAGTCGGAGACCAAAGTAGACGGAGATCGATCGTCTAGTTTATGTTAGTGCACTTGAATAAATTTACATTGTATCGTATATTCTGAATCAACATACGTACACATTGTTATTTATATTACGCAATACATAATTTCTAAAATTAATAAAATTTTTATATAAACCTTTTATCATATCCACATATAATATTAAGTATAATATTAAGGCCCCAGCCCTAAAAAACTAGTGCTAGCGGCACTAAGAAATTACAGGGTCATACAACTCGAAGTGTTAGAATCAGTGTAAAAAAACTCTATACAGAACCTAAACCCTCTACTAGATCTCTTAAGGGTCAGTTGAAATTCGAACTTGAACAGTGCCTATCTTAGCGACTTGGGAAAAAAGATCGTGATCAATCTTCCAAAAGCACAATTGAACTCAGTGATGGCAAATAGACGTAGGTCTCCCGACCTTTCATGGGAATCTACCTTCTCAGGGCTAGTCAAAATGGAGGCTGGTGAGTCAACTAGATATCCCCTTGTCGGCGAGACGGTGACAATACTCCCTGCACCGTTAATCATGTTGGACCCAAATCAAACAGCACCGTCCCAATTCATCCTGATATTGAAGGAAGAGACTGATTCTCAAGTCACATGTGTAACGAATTTTTTATTAATTTCGTTTCATTTATTTTATTCACGCTGTATAAACTTTATATTTTATAAAACCTCTACTTTATTCCTAATTTACCCAACCTCTCTTGATAATTAACATTCGTAAAGAATTCTGCAAACCTTCAAACTGGCATGTAATTGTGGTTCCTTTCCTTTTATTGTAATTTTGTATTTTGCTAATTGCTTGTTTTCTTATTTAATTAATTTAGGTACGACGACGTGGTGCGTAACCTTAGGCTTTTGTCAACGTCACGTGGCAATTCATGTCTACGACATGTAGCTTTGATTTGATTGTTTCTTTTAGCAAAGTTTTAGGACCCATACTGAGAGTATTTAAAATTTCAGATTTTAATTCTACGGGGAGCATCTCCTGCATTTGAGGAGTACGAAGATGGTTTTAAAAAAAAAATTCCGATTACGTCACAAACCTGCAGTTATTACTACTGGCAAATATTTTAGTCTGGATTGGAATATGGTTATCTTAAAATCTCAAAATTTGGCATTCCGGGGTTTTTAAGGACGCCAAATACGCTGGTCTAATTATTTTTTGTATATTTCATAGAGAGCGCTAGTTATGCTGCATTCGTATTACATTTTAAGTTCTAATTTTTTTAAGGTTAAGTTTTTTACCATTCGGGCTCCAATTTCTAATGTACAATTTTATTTTCTAAAAATAATGTACTCTAGTTAGAACTTCCTAATATGGACGGTTTTTGAGAAAAAAGGCTTTTAATTGGACTCTTACAATATTACTGTGTAAGAAATAAGTGACTTGTCTCAAGGTAGGTTTATATCAAAACTTATTGATGGATGCCTCATAAACAACGCATACATTCTTAGTAATATTTTAAACTCTAATTAACTTTATATCAAAATTTTAGTGACTGTATTTAGTCATTACTAACCACAGACACTAACAATCACTAAAATTGTAACGTTCACCACATGTTCTTTTTTTTAATTTATTTCTAATTGTATCGCGAAAACGATTGTTTTGAGTTACCCTGTATACGAAAAGTTTAGTTTAAGGATTCAGTATTTTAATTTAAATTGAAGACATCAACAGTAGGCGACCAAATGTTCATTAATATTTTAAAGACAATTTTTGTATTTACTTGTCGTTTTAATTTATCAGCTCGGATAAGAATTTATAAGAAACTGGTAAAAGAACTAAACGAGAAAAAAATTGCTACACAAATAATAAATATTCACAACTATCATAATATTATAATTGAGTTTTCAAAAGATTTTCACTGAGTATTATTGAAAAATTCAAACCATATCTCAGTTCACAAAGCGACATCATCGGCCACTCCGATTTGAATAGCTGTCAATTTCGATTTTATAATTTTGTAGCGATTAGACCGTTGTAAGTTGCGGAACTTTTACAATAATTCTAAATACGCTTAAGGTTTATGTAGGTACACTTTTGAATGCAGTTGTTGTCGTAATTTTGCTAAATGAGTTCCCGCTAGTTTTTTTGGTTTCTATTTAGGAGGGAAACGATGTTCGAGAAGCATCTCTTGGGTGTGTGCTCAGCAACTCGTAGTAAAGTAAACTTATGCATGATTTTTCTACATTTTATTAATGCGTGTGTGTTCCATAGACTGGGATATTAGTATAAAGATGACTGTGACTGTGTCTCTGTTTTGTGGTGATAGTTTTCTACCGTTTATCTTGAAGACACGATCTCAGTTTTAGCTGGATTTAAGCAATCTTCCTGCACGAATTATACAGGATGTTGCATCACGAGAGGGACATGGCTTAGTGGGAGATAGGGGATATCTAGGGTAATTAGGATCGCCTATAGAAATAGCTCCTTTGCCATTCTTTATTGAGATACAGGGTGATTTATGATTTTTGGTCAAAACTGCTTTATGTCATAACTTTGGTAGGGAATGGAATAATGGGTTCATATTTGGTAGGGTTAATGCACTCACGATACTTCATGTATGCATGTATAACAGCAAAAAAAATCCAGGTCCGGACTGCAAAAATTGTTAATTTTTTGTGCAAGTCTAGAAAACAACACTCTGTATGTCTTTTTTTAAATTCCGATGCGATATTCGGAAAGAGCATAAAAAAGTGATTTTAAAGACGTGTTTCTTTTTTTTGTTACACTTTCGTGGTTATTTAAATAAGCTTTTGAATATACGAGATTACGGCTTCTAAAACTAAATTACGTAAAGGACACTTGATAAAAATGGTTTTGCAACTAAAATTAGCGAAGGCTTAATTGAGGGTAGATGTTATAAATAAGCATGAATATTTTAAACCTCATTTTCTTTAAATAATATGTATTCCAGGTCCGGACTGCAAAATTCTTAATTTTTTTTGTAACTCTAGAAAACATCGCCTTGTATGTATTATTTGGTATTCCCATACGATTATCGAAGAGAACATAAAAAAGTAATCTCAGCGACATGTCTCTTTTTCTTGTTACACTTTGATGATTATTTAAATACGCATGATAAAAACACATGACAAAAAATAAATTATAATCCGTATATTTCGATTGCCATTCATGTAGATCTACCCAAATATTTGCAGTAAATCTGTACTGTGAATTACATAAGCGTTTGCAGATGGGTATTGCTGTGCCCATTTATAGTCGTTTCTTGAGTTATTTATTTACCCGTAATCAACGCGAAAAAGAATGAGGTATGAATAATACTGATTCCTTTTCAATGTTTTCCATATATTCCATTGAGAAATATTAATAGTCGAACTTATGTTAGACCTTGCATTTTGTTGAATTTGATCTAAAATATTATTCTCTTTTTGAACATCTTGATGTAAATTAATTATAGTAGGCCTACTCAAAGTGACAGATAATTAAATAGTGAATTGTTTGACAACAAACTGTTTACTGGTGTTATCGTGTATTCATTAACTTGCATTTAATACTTTAAATTTAAACATGCCGCAATTATTTTCAAACGAAGAATATGCTGACATAGTAGACATAGTAGACTATGGGTTTTACAATGGGAATAGTAGGGCAGCACAAAGGGTATATCAGCAACGTTTTCCTGATCGTCGGCATCCTAATTATAAAACTTTTAGTAAAGTCTTCCAGTACTCAAAACAACACGGGAGGATTCCAACTTCAAAAAATTTGGAGCGTAATTTACATAAAGATGCTCAAGAACAGAACAATATTTTAAATTTAATTCAACAAAATCCAAAAACTAGCACAAGAAGAATTAGTTCTGCCATTAATATTCCTCATTGGAACATATGGAGAACATTGAAAAGGGAACGTTATTATCCATACCACATCCAGTAGGTACAGCGTCTTGAACCAGGTGATAACATTCACCGGTTGGCTTTTTCGCGTTGGTTATCTAACCACCGTCCGGTCTTTTACATAACCTTATATACAGACGAAGCGCAATTTACAATAAATGGAATAAATAACTCAAGGAACGACCACGAATGGGCACAACAAAACCCACATGCAAAACGCCAATGTTATTCACAACAGGTTTGCTGTAAACGTTTGGATCGGGCTTGTAAATGGGCATTTAATAGGGCCTTATTTTTTTGAAGAGAGATTAGGTGGTAACGTTTATTTAAACTTTATTCAAACAATCCTACCCAATCTCTTAGAAAATGTCAATATTAGAGGTATGCTCTTTCAACACGATGGAGCTCCACCGCATTTTAGCACTTGGATTATGAATATCTAAACAGATAGATTGGTCGTGGCGGTCCATACGAATGACCAGCGAGGTCTCCGGATTGTATCCTTGCGACTATTTTTTATGGGGTCACTTGAAAGCAGAAGTTTATAAGGTCGAAATCAATAATAGGGAACAATTGATCGATCGTACCATTACAGCTTGCGATGAAATACGAAATAATTCAGTAATGATACGTCGAGCAATTGAAAACTTGGGTAAACGAGTAAAAAATGTATCGAAGTTGAGGGACTTTAAAAATTTACTATAAAATTAATTTGCCATTGTAAAGTACATTTAGACACCTATTATTTTCTTTGTGTTTTATTGTTATTTGTTTTCCGTGCTTTATTAAATAGTCTTTGTTCCTACTTGCTTTTTTTATTTCTATTTTTTAGAAATCCTATTTACTAAAAGAAATAAACTACTATTTTTATCATGTATCTTTTACTTACTCATGTCATGTGTTTCTTACTTACTCGTAATTTCATTTTAAAAGCCTTGTTACCGTACATTGAATAGCGTATTTAAGTAATTGTGAAAATACTTTATTCTATTTCTTACAGAATGTTTAACTAACTGAACAGTTTTTATGACATATTGACATATTTATCAAACATTTGATTAACACTCAAACAGTCTTTACGGTCTAACATTATTAATCGCACACTATATCACTACTGCTA